CTGGCCAGGCTCCGTGGCTGAGCTGATGCAGTTAGCAGGGTGTGCTGGAATTTGAGTTTCCCTTCCGAGGTGCAGTGCTTTGCAATGATCAACACTGAGCTTCCCCTGCCATCCTGGTGCCCATTCACCACGTTTGTTGAGGTCTCACTGAAGTTCCTCACAGGAGTCGCTGGGCCCGACTCACCTAAATAACTTGGACATTTAACACTGCACATTTTGCTCCCTGTATTGAACAGGGGGCTTGCTGTTCACCTAGTGCCAGGATGGAAACTGGCCAGGTGCGTGGTCGCCCAGTGGGGACAATCCCATCGGCTCTGTTCCAAGCTGTGATCAGCAGCGCAGCCGAAGGACACGCCCCGAGGTTACTGCTTAGCATCTCGCCGGGCCTTACAGGGATAACAACTCGATAGGGCTCTGTCGCGGGAGAGTGCAATCAGAGAGATGATGAAACGGCTCAGGGGGGATTGCGCTGTGGGGGGACACTGCTGTGTTGAGCAGGGGGTGCTCACAGCCATGGGCGGCTGCTGGGGAAGGAGACAGGGCGTTCATGGAGGGGTGTGAAGTAGAGAAAGTGCGTAGCAGGCGGGAGGGGGAGATGGCTCCAAGCACGGGGCCCAGAGCTGAGAGCAGAGTGGATGGTGTGCCTGGGGCAGAGGTTGGGCCAGGCCAGTGAAGGGTGTGGGGCAGTGGGATCCGGTGAAAGATGCCCGAGGAGAGGTTTGGGGAGCTGGGTGATGAGAATAGAGGATGTGGACAGCAGAGCAGAGGGTTGCAGCAGGGAGGGTTACAGAGAGCTGGACAAGCTAGCCATGGCTGTTAACACCTGGCTTGGCTTTCCAGCCAGAGCCCTGCAAGGAGCCATTCAGCTCCCCTTGCTGCGCCCAATGCACTTGAGAGCAGCAGCCATGAACCCCACACCATGCTGACACTCTGCTCCTTGGGCAGGGCTTGCTCTCTAGCCTGGCCTTAGCTGGTCTGGTGCAGGCTTTCTGTCCATTCTGACAGCACCAGCTCAGACACTGCAGACAGATCTGTGGGCTCTTTAAGTGCCAGGGAGCCCCCCCTTCTCCATTAGAGGAGGTTTGTTAAGGAGGACCAGGGTCTTATGCATCCCCATTTCGCCCCAATAACATGCTACTGTCACCCTGAGCCTCGGGTGTACTAGCAAGTTGGATCACGTTACCTGGCCTGTTTTTTTAAGTACCTCAGAAGCAGGAAACCTGCCAAACAATCCGTGGGGCCACCGGACCATTGAGGTGCTAAAGGAGCACTCAAAGAAGACAAGGGGATTGCAGAGAAATGAAATGAATTCTTTGCATCAGTCTTCACTGCAGAGGGTCTGAGGGAGATTCCCACACCTAAGCCATTGTTTTCAGGTGACAAAACCAAGGAACTGTCCCAGATTAAGGTGCAATAAAGGAGGTTAATTTATCAGTTTGTTTCAAACTGATAAATTAAACAGTAATAAGTCACCAGGCCCAGATGGTATCACCCCAGAGTTCTGAAGGAGCCCAAATGTGAAATTGCAGAACTGCTAACTGTGGGCTGTAACCGATTACTTAAATCGGTCTCTGAACCAGATGATAGGAGGCTAGCTAACGTGATGCCGATTTTTTCCAGAGGTGATCCCGGCAATTACAGGCCAGTAAGCCTGACTTCGGTACCAGGCAAACGGGTTGAAATGATAGTAAAGAACAGAATGATCAGACACAGAGATGAACATAATTTGTTGAGGAAGAATCAACATGGTTTCTGTAAAGGGAAATCCTGCCTCACCAATCTACTAGAATTCTTTGAGGGGGTCAACAAGCATGTGGACAAGGGGGATCCAGTGTACTTAGATGGTCAGAAAGCCTTTAACAGGATCCCTCACCAAAGGCTCTTAAGCAAAGTAAGCAAAGTCAAGGGGTAAGAGGGAAGGTACCTCTCATGGATTGGTAACTGGTTAAAAGATAGGAAACAAAGGGTAGGAATACATGGTCAGTTGTCCGAATGGAGAGAGGTAAATAGTGGTGTCCCCCAGGGATCTGTACTGGGGCCAGTCCTATTCAACATATTCATAAATGATCTGGAAAAAAGGGGTAAACAGTGAGGTGGCAAAGTTTGCAGATGATACAAAACTACTCAAGATAGTTAAGTCCCAGGCAGACTGCAAAGAGCTACAAAAGGATCTCTCAAAACTGGGTGACTGGGCAACAAAATGGCAGATGAAATTCAGTGTTGATAAATGCAAAGTGATGCACATTGGAAAACATCATCCCAACTCTACATATACAAGGATGGGGTCTGAATTAGCTGTTACCACTCAGGAAAGAGATCTTGGATTTTAAAACATAGTTTGATTTGCCCCCGTCACAGTCCAGTCCAACAGCCCGGGCAGCCCTTACGGCCCAGCAGTCCAGGCAGCAGGTGGCTCACAGGAAGGCTGTTCGGTTGCAGCGGCTTCTAACGTGGGCTTGAGCCAGAAGTGCCAGCCAGGCTCACCCTTGTGTTTCACAGAACTAGGACTCCAGCCTTAAACCTTGGTGGAACGGCAACAGCCAAGAAGGAATGGACCCCACTGGCTGGAGTAAGAGCTAGATCCACACCCCCATCCAAGCCAACGGCCTCGCCGCATTGCCCTCTGCTCCCAGTAACTTTCCGGTTTGTATTATGGTACTGCCTCAGCGCTCCAGCCACAGGCCGGCCTGTTGTGCCAGGCGCTGGACAGACAGACCCACAGGCCGGCCCCTCCCTGGGGAATCATTTCTGACTGGGCAGTGAAGACAGACTGACGTCCTTCTACCCCCTGTGACGTACCAGGGTACAGCTAGTTTAAGGAGCAGCTGTGCCACTCTTGTCCTGGGGTGCCTTACGATGCCTGGCTGAAGCAGCTCCCACCTGGGCCACTCACAAACAGTCCTCCAGCATGCAAGCCACGCCCTGAGTGTCTATGTGTAACTTCAGGCTGCCAGCTCCACCCTGGCTCTCACCAGCCTGGATTATACTGCAGGGTCACCCCCAACACACCCCCAGTCTTAGATTTCCCCCCAGACCTCTATGTCCTGTACTGCCCTGCCCTCCCCGGGACACATTATAAGTCTGTTGTCTCTTTTATAGAAATAACCTGTGCAAAACTTACCACCCCAAATGGAGTTTCCCAAACACTTCAGTGTAAATACACTGGATTCAATTAAACAATAAACCAAGTTTATTAACTACGCGGAGAGAGATTGTCACTGAGTACAAGCCATGAAGCGTAAAAGTCAGAAATGGTTACAAGAAAATCAAGTTAAAATGCTACCGGTGCCTAACAAACGATATCAGAGTTGAGAACGTTTCTCACCACATCATCTCAGCATCTTACTGACCAAACCCACTCACTCAAGAGACCTTCTCCCAGAATCCAGTAAAGGCTTCCTCTGTTGCTTCAGGTGCAGAGACTCAATGGGCCTGGTGTGTGTGACACACACACACACACATGCTGGGCACCAGGAGACAAGAAGTTGATGCTGAAGGATGGTCCCTGCTGCTTTTTTCTCACCTGTTTGAGCTTCCTTTGTCTCCCCTTCCTGCTGGATGACTCTGTGTATTGCTTAAAATGCAAATCAAGCAGAGAAGACATGCCTTTGTTTGAGCCAGACCTGCCTGCAAGCCTCGGGTTGGGATGTGCTCATCACACCATACAGTGGAATCTTATTATTTCACATACAACATTGCCACACATATTTCATCAGGACAACGTGGGCGAGCAAATGATGAGTTTTCGCACGACACCTCCCAAGACACACCTTGTACAAATATCACTGCAATAGTGCATAGGGTTCGACTCGGGTACATTCTGTCACCCACACTGTCAGCGTGGGACTTGCCCACAGAACTGGCCCCGTCTGTGACCCTTGGCCAGCACGGGGGGGTCCCTTCGACGTTCTCTGGGGGATAACAGGTGTAAGGACAATGCAGAGGTGACAAAGCTGGTTCTCAGAGTGCTGCCAGGCCAAGGGGCAGGGGCAGCCCCATGCAGGGCCCCATGCAGCCTGACCCCTGCCCAGACTAGGGGAAATAGCTCTGAAGAGGACGCAGCATGGGTGAGAAGGCAAGCAAAACCGCCTCCAAGGATTTCCAGGGCCCCCACCAAGCAGATATCCACTGAGGTGCCCAGGGCCGTCCGCAGACATCAAGCCTCCAGTGTGTGACTCAGAGCCCAGCCTTGCCCATGCCGGTCTGTGAATACCGTCCACAGACAGAACCCTCCCGTCCCTACCGAGCACGGGCGGGATCAGCCCAGAACGTCCGGCATCGTCCAGCTGCCGCAGCAGGCCAGCTGGGAACCAGCCAGCTGCACAGAGCACAGCGCCGGCCCAGCCCAGACACGGGGGCTAATCACGAGCCGCCTCGGGGCACCTGAGCAGCCCAGCATGTGACAGGGGCAGGGTTAGGGCTCAGGCTGCCCCTTCTCATCGACATTGCCTGGAGGGGACCCACTGGCCTCCCTGCCAACCTCTGCCCCCTCATCTCCATCACCCCCACCTCGTGACCCCCCCTCCGCCCCACTCACCTCCATCACCCCCGCCCCATGACCCCCCTGCGCCTCACTCACCTGCATCACCCCTGCCCTGTGACCCCCCTCACCTCCATCACCCCTGCCCCATGACCCCCCCGCCCCACTCACCTCCATCATCCCAGCCTCGTGACCCCCCTCACCTCCATCACCCCCACTGCATCACCCCCCCTGCTCCACTCACCTCCATCACCCCTGCTCCATGCCCCCCCGCGCCCCACTCACCTCCATCACCCCTGCTCCATGCCCCCCCGCGCCCCACTCACCTCCATCACCCCTCCCCTATGACCCCAGTCACCTCCATCACCCCACAACCCCCCCCCACCTCGGCCCCACTCACCTCCATCCCCCCCACCCCACAACCCCCCCTCACCCCTGCCCCACTCACCTCCATCACCCCCGCCCTCACCCCACTCACCTTCACCCCCATCGCCCCCTAACCCCTCCCCCTGCTGAGGTTTAAGCCAGTTTGGCTCAGTGCCGGGAGCAGGTCTGGAAGCTCCTCAATGGCCCAGGGTGCTGGGGGTGGGGGCCTGCTCCCCCCCCGGCGGCGGGGCCGGTTTCATGGTGTACTTGGTGCCGATGGTGCGCCCTGACACACACCGGTACTCCCCCAGCTCCGTCTTGGTCCGCTCGTTCTGGCTGATGGTGAGCTCCACCGGCACCGAGACAGTGGTCTCCTTGCTCACCACGTGGATGGTGAGCTGGGTGCGGGGCGGGATCTTGGCTGGCAGGAGCACCTCCACCCGATCCCGCCGGGTGCTGGACTCGCTGCGCCCCTTCTCCACGGTGAAGACGTTGGCGGCTTCCACGGCCAGCGTGAAGGAGAGCCCTACCCGCAGGCTGGTGGCGTTGCTGAAGCGGAAGCTCTGCAGCGTGGTGGTGACGTATTCCCGGCTGCTGCAGGTGGTGAACGTCTGCTCCAGGTCCGTGGCGTTCACCCCCACGATCTCGTCGATCAGCACATCCCGCTCGTCCTCCACCTTCCGCTGGCCCCACAGGATGCGGGCGGTGACGGCGGGGCGGCCGGGCACCAGTGGGCGCAGGTGGGACAGGCAGTTGTGGAAGCCAAGCTCCGGCTTGTAGTCGGGCAGGCGCTCGCCAGGCCAGGCGATGTGATACCAGCCCCCGCGGTCCGGGTGTTTGTACAGCAGCCAGACGCCGCGCTGCACCACATGGGAGGAGACCCGGTCATTGAAGTAGCCATAGGTGAGGTTGGTCTCTTCCGTCACCACCTTGCTCTGGCCCGCGTAGTCGGGCTCCTCGTACAGGGTGATCTGCGGGTCGGCCAAGTCGTGGGGCACCAGCCGCAGCGCGGAGAAAGCCTTGTTCTTCTCCACCGTCCGGTACTCGCCTTCCTCCAGGGCGTAGGCGTCGCCCTCGTACTTGGGGGCCGTGTAGGCGATCCACGGCTGCCCCACCACCCGCAGCGAGCAGATGCAGTCCCCGAAGTCCAGCTCGTGCAGGTCTGGCACGTCGGACGTGAACTCTCGGCTCAGCCCCTCGAAGTCGGTGCGCTCATAGACGATGATCTTGTTGATGCCGGGCTGCATGGGGTGCCGCAGCTCGGCCTGGCCGGGCGAGTCCCGCTGCACGTCGGAGAGCTGAATGCTGGGCAGGGCCATCGCCGGCGCAGGGAGACGCTCTGCCGGGAGGAAGGTGCAAAACGTCACCCGCTGCCTCAGCGAGCCTGGGAGGGGGTTTCCTCCCTGGCGCAGCCCTGTACCACCCCCACCACTGCACCCCACCCCCTGGGCTGCACGTGCCCTGCCTGCCCCCCATGGCAGCCTGCAGCCAGTGGGCAGGAATCTGGCAGGGTCCCCATGGCTCTAACTCACCCCCAGGCTCTGGGCTGGACACAGCAGTCCCAGGGCAGGTTCTGGGGCTGGCTCTGGACAGGTCAGACCGAGCCCTTCTGGCCTCACAGCCTGGGACTCGCTATGTTACTGCAAGGGTTGAACAGCTGGAGGGCGAGTCCCTGAGCGCCAGGCTCCCCAGGGCCTCGCGAGCTCCGGCAGCGTCACCTCCACTGTGCTCGGCTGGGGTCACTGGGGTTCTCCCGCTGCCGGGCGCTTGGCCCCAGGGAGGTGCTGTGAAGGGGAAGGACAGCCTGTTCGGGGCTGGGCCCTGCACCCCACGCTCCCAGGGCGCTGGCCAGGCCAGGCGGGACTTACCCCAGCCAGGAGCTCCCAGCCCCTCCCATGGGACAGGAGGAATTACCAGATTGTGCGGTTAGCAAATGGGCCCCGAGACCCAGCCCAGGTGCCGCCCCCAGACTCCTGCTCAGCCCTGCCTCCAAACCCGCTCTTCCGGGGCACAGGCCTGGCAGCTGGCCGCAGCCCCTCTGGCTGCGCTGGGGCAAGGGGGCAGCCGGCTCCGGTCAGCTTGTCTCAACCTGGTCTCTGCAGCCACCCCAGTGCTGTCGCGTCTCTTCTGCAGCCCCCTCCCACCAGTGCCCGGGGGCAGGCGTGCTAGCCAGTTGCCCTGGGAGCCTCCGGCAGGCCAGGAGTGCTGCTGCCCCGAGCAGCCGGCCGCGAAGTAACGCAGGCCCTGCCATGGCCCGCTGCAGGGCTGCTCCCCGCAGCAGGTTCGTGGGGCTGCTCCCTTCTGCCATCGCTGAGTCCTCTCAAGGGAGCGGCCCCTGCAGCCCCTGCCAGCGCGCCGGGCCAGCGAGCTTCGGGCTGGCTGCAAGGACCTGGAGCCCCAGGACCCCTTGTGATTGTCCGGGCTGACTGGGCAGTGCCCTGAATTCAGTCCCCCCACCCCAAAGCAGCTCTGTTAAACCCAGGGGGGGTGGAATTGTAGCATCTGTTGGCTGAGCTCATTGCACACACCTGAGACTCCCTGCATCTGTCCATCTCCCTCCCCCAGCTCCCAGGCTGCCCCTTCTCCCCCCAGCCCACATGTGGGGGGGAAGACAGGCATCCCCTTTCCCCTCCATGGAGCAGGCTTTGTGTCGGGACACAAGGAAGCCTCCTCTTCCCCTCTGCCATGAGTGCAGCTGGCTGGGTGTTTGCCCACGGCTCCCAGCACCAGCAGGGGCCACTTCCCTTCGGGGCGGGTGGGGCCGGGCAGGGGACTGTTCTGCTGCAAGGTGGGTGCCAGGTGCCCTGGAGAGCTGCCAGCAGGGCCATCCCCCGCCCCGGCGAGTGTTCCCCAGCTCAGCAGGGTTCTGCTCCCAGTGGCCAGCCCCTTCCCAGCCCCTTGGGAAGTGACTGGACGCCGCGGTTCAGAGAGACGCCCTCCAGGCTGCGCTGTGCCCTGGGACAGCCCTGAGCCAGCAGCTATCCAAGCCCCCCGCCAGCCCCAGCCTGACCGCGGGGGCGTAGACTTTCTGGGCCATGGCCTCTTGCTGGCTGACTCCCAGCCCCAGCCCCTGGCTCCGCTAACAGTGCCTGGCTCAGGTGGGACCCCCTGCCATGGGACAAACCCACAGCACAGAGACAGCTGCTGCCCCACAGAGGCTCCCAGGCCTTTTGCTTGACCCCCAGCCAGCCCTCGTACCTTGGGAGTTCGCAGCCCTTGCCTGTGAGAGCGAGCCAGCCTGGCCCAGCGAGTTGCAGCTCCCTCGTGCCCGCAGCCAGCCACCCGCTTCCGGGCCGTTTGAAGAGGGGTGGGAAGGGCTTTGATCTTGTCAGGACCTGAATCGAGGGCTGCTGACAACACCCCCACCCACGTGGCCCAGGGAGCTGCCAGCCACACCCTGGGGAGCAGGATGCACCACCCCTGAGCCCACTGGCCTCCCCCTGCACGGGGCCACTCATTCGCCTGGCCTGCCACCAGCCGGGCCAGAGCCTGGCACTTCGAGACGAGCCGGGCCCTTGTGCAACGCTGTGGTGACGCCAGCTTGAGGCTTGAGTCAGGGGACGCGGCTCAGTCACTAATTTAATGCTTGGCTTTGCAGCGCTTCCCACGCTCCTAGGGCGGGAGCCCGGCAGCCGGGAGGCAGGAATTAGCAGCTGCTGCAGAGAGAACCAAGAGCCAGGAGTGACTCTTCCAGGTGCCTCAGCAAGACGGGGGCCAAGGCCAGCCAGAGCCCTGGGGAGGCTGCAGCCACCAGCAGCGGCCCGGCCAGGCCGCCAGTCACCACCAGCAGCCACAAGCCGCATGGCTCACACACTCAGCCATCATGCTGAGCCGGGCTCTGCCACGCCCCTGGCACTGCTGGACCAGACTCCATGCACTGGGCAGGAGATCTCGGGTGCTGGGTGTCATGGGGTCCCCGGGCGATGCTCTGGAACTGCTCCCCATGAAGCCAGGCAGGACTCTGGGGAAGTCTCCTCTCTGTGAGCAGCCTGTCTGCAGGACACACAGCTCACCCGGCTCCACCTTCCTGGGTCTGACCTCGGAGCATTCAGCCTCCTCTGCCCCACCATGCGCTTCCCACAGCCAGTCCGCCCAGGCGGGGTCCTGGGGCAGCCAGAGGGTCCTGCCCCCCAACTTCGCAGTCAGATGGAACTCTCCGCCAGCCGGGAAAACAGAAGGTTTATTAGACGACAGGAACATGGTCTAAAACAGAGCTTGTAGGTGCAGAGAACAGGACCCCTCAGCTGGGTCCACTGGGGGGGGGGGGACAGTGAGCCAGACAACCACGTCTGCCCTTCACTCCATGTCCCAGCCAGCCCCAAACTGAAACTCCCTCCAGCCCCTCCTCCTCTGGGCTTTGTCCCTGTCCCAGGCCAGGAGGTCACCGGATTCCTTTGTTCTCCAACCCTTTAGCTCTCACCTTGCAGGGGGGAAGGGCCCAGGCCATCAGCTGCCGGGAGACAGAGTGTCGGCCATTCTCTGTGTCCAGACCCCTGCACACACCTGCCCTCTAGGGCTCTGCAGTGATCATACCCTTACCCCACCCCCTAGATACTTAAGAACTACACAGGGGAAACTGAGGCACCCCGACACTATTCAGAGGAAACATTAAGAACAGTCCCACTTTGTCACATCTCTCCCCTCTTCAAGATCGAACTGAGCAGGGTCACTTTAGCCGGTGACCTGGGGAAGTTCGAAGCCACCAACATTCCCATGGATGCCCCAGCATCTCTCCCATTCCTTGGTGGGAGTTACACCAGGCCCTTCCAGTTTCACGCCCTCCCTTAGGTCGGGGGTGGTCGATAGCACTCGCAGGCCGCATGTGGGAAGGTTTATGTGGCCCCGTGCCCTTTGGCCACCCCAAAACCCCAGGGGGTCATTCTGGGATTGGGTCTTCTCCCCAACAAGCTGGCCAAACACAGCCACTTGGTTATAGGACTGTTTAACTTTCTTAACAGCTTTCACTACATCTGAGATCTTTTCAAAGCTATCCACACTGGGTCTTTCAACAGGAAAGTCAGTGGATCCATTCACAACAGAAAATTTCTGGCTGTTAGGAACCAAAACTGTCTTGTTTACATCAATTTCACACCCTTCAGTTGCAGTAAACTGCTTGCAAAGACTCCATGAGGATTTCTTTCCCTGGGGCTTTTCTATGCAACAATTCACCCCTCACAGAAATTCTGCTCTTACCCTCTTTACCTAGGGCTTGCTCCAGAGGAACACTTTCCTGAGCAACAACAGACTCTTTCTGGGTCTCCCTTACATCCAGAATGACCTCTGGGCCATCCGGTGGATTCCTACACAATCCCCTTTCAGGCAAACTTACAGACTTCCTAGATAACAGGTCAGAAGCATTCTCCTTCCCTTTGCCACACACAAGCTCAGGAATCTTTTCCTTCTTGCTACAGGTTTCCACACCCTCAGTAGGTAACACAATCACATCACCTTCCTGCTCTCCTTGTGCCCTGGCTGGGATCTCACCCTGATTAGACAGAGTTGCTACACCCTTTCCCAGCCATACACTAGCAACAGGCAAAATACAAGCACCAGAATTGTCTGGTCTCTGGGATTTTACATAGACACTAACTGGATGTGACCTAGTTACAGGGCCATTCTCCCGAGCAGACACAAACTTAGGACCCTTCCCTTCCTGGGCTTTAGCTGAATCCAGAACCAACTCTGAGACAACTGCACAACCCTCAACCATCACAGGCTGAAAGGCCCCTGCTGTCTGCTCCACAGACCAAGAAGAGCCGGACACACCCTCTCCCTTCCCAGACACACAGCTTGGGACCTCTCTCCCCTTGTCCCAGCACACAAGGCTGGTCACAGACAACTGCTTGGAGATCAGGGTAGCTCCCTCCGTAGGCAAGTCAATACCCCTGACAGAGACAGACACATTTCCTTCCAAAAAGAAAAGGAGTACTTGTGGCACCTTAGAGACTAACCAATTTATTTGAGCATGAGCTTTTGTGAGCTACAGCTCACTTCATCGGATGCGTCCGATGAAGTGAGCTGTAGCTCACAAAAGCTTATGCTCAGATAAATTGGTTAGTCTCTAAGGTGCCACAAGTCCTCCTTTTCTTTTTGCGAATACAGACTAACACGGCTGTTACTCTGAAACATTTCCTTCCCTGTCCCAATTCTCCACCCAGCTAACAGGTAAGGTCCAGGGACACTCATCTTCCACTCTCCTCGCCTTCCCATCCTGCTGACTAGACACAGCCATCAGCTCACAAGGCTGCCCAGGCTCATCCAAACTTTCCTTACCCAGCACCTTGCCACTCCCCACAGATCCCCTGCCCTGCTTGTGTCTCCCCCCATCAGCTGGGGTCTCAGCTCCCACTGTGCTCAGCGCTGC